GCCCCCCACCCCCCGGCCCCCCGGCCCCGTCTCGGCCGCCCCCTCGGACCCGCGGCTCCGGCAGTTCCTGCAGAAGTCCCTGGCTGCCGCCGCCGGGAAGCAGGTGAGAGCCCCGCGACGGGGCGGCCACCCCGGGCACCCCTCGGGCACCCCGCTGGGCGCCCCGACGCCCTTGCTTCAGACCCCCGCTTCTCCACTGCAGACCCCTGCTTCTCCTCCGGAGATCCCCCAGTTCCCCGCTGCAGACCCTCCGTTTCCCCACCCCTGGCATCCCCATTACAGACCCCCGGCTTCCCTGCTGCAGACCCCTCCAGTTCCCCACTGGACACCCCAGTACCCTCAGTGCAGACGTCCAGTTCCTCACCGGATCTCCCCGTTTCAGAACGTTGCTTCCTGCAGATCCCCGTTCCCCGGCAGATCCCCTGGTTCCCCACCGGGGCTGAGCCAGTGACAGGATGGGCAGCTGAGGGAGGGAAGGGGAGACCCCCCAAGCCCAGCCCAGCTGGGTGCTGGCAGGGGATGAGGAGCAGCCGCTGCCGGGGCAGAGGGCAGAGCCCCCGGTGAAGCTCTCCAGGGCTTCTCTGGGGCTCTGAACCAAGGCAGCTGCCTCAGTCCAGCAGGAGGATGTCTTTAGCCATGCAAGGGGGCAGCCAGGGCTTGGAGGGGCAAGAGGAAAAATATCCCCCAGTTAGAAGGTTCCCTGACTCAGCTTCCCCTGCAAGCTCCCCCAAAGACCTTTCCCGTGTCACTTCAGCAGCATCCTCGCTGAGTCCAGCACAGTGTGCAGGACCAGTGGGAAGGGAAAGGAAGGGAAGGTGGGGTGGTGCTCGCATGGACAGCAGTCTCTTCCCCACACCAGGTAGATGTCACCACTCTTTCTGCTCCACTTTATTTTGTAGGCGCAGCTGCTGCATAGCAGCCGTCAGGCTGGGCTCTTTGGAAAGCTGGGGCTCCCCTTCTCCTCCAGAGTTGAGCATGTCCCTAATCTGGGCACAAAGGTGTCTTAGATGGAAAGAACGGTGAGCCCCCAAAAGCCGATCAGTAATTGTGGTCTTTCTCTTTTTCTCTCTCTTCTCCCCCAAGGAACTGGCCAAGTACTTTTTGGCAGAACTGCTCTCAGAGCCAAGCCAGACAGAAAATGAAGCCCTGGAGTCTGAGGACTTGTCCCGAGGGGCTGAGCAGGATGAAGTGAGACTGGAGCTGGAGCGCTCGGCTAACTCAAACCCCGCTCTGGCACCCCGGGAACGCAAAGCGGGCTGCAAGAACTTCTTCTGGAAAACTTTCACATCCTGTTAGCTTTTGAAACCCACCTCTCCTCCCCATCCATCCCTCCTTCTTCCTAGCCCCTCACCCTGAGCAGAACCTTCACCACAAGAGGCGAAGACTGTAAATACACAATCCACGGTTATGGTGAAATTAAACAAACAAGGAAAATTTGAGTTTGATTTCCAGTTGTTTTAATAAAACTTTCTGTTCCAATTGTACATGATTTGCTTGAGTTGTGATTTCTGACTAGTTCTTTAATGACATGCACTCTGCAATTCTTTCAGATGTACTATTTTTAATTCTTTGTTGCAATAAAGTTTATGTTTCAAACGGTGATGCTGAGACTTGGTGGTCAATGAGAAAACCTAAGTCACCTCTCTCAGACTGCTTGTCTGTGAAATGCTGCCCGTCTCAGGGCAGCAATAGCAAACAGCATCCGCATGCACACATATGCACATGCACACTGTATCTCTTAAAGTGAATTTTTTTGCTGTGGTCTTTCGAAGGGACCTAGAGACATGGTGGTATTTTAGATATCAAATCCCTGTAACTGTGGCTGAGTCAAATCCGTAGCGCTGGCACTTCAGTCAGTCTAGAGGATTTACACCCATCACCAAAGACATCACTATAAATCACAGCTGTGTATTCCAAGCAATGAGGAATCATAAAAGTGGTTCACAGTACAAGTTTACTCACACATAACTCATTCCCTCCTCAGCCACAAACGCTAAAAGGTTTTCTTACCTGCCATATTTTATTCGTTGCAACATCCTAGGCAAACACTGCTTCTGGGATTCCTTCAGAAAGTTTTCCTTTGTTCTGCTGTGCAGGGGGAGGTTTCGCATCCCTGTAAAGCTGAGATGTTAACCCCATGCTGTCAGCCCCTCTCCATCTAATATAGTGGTTACAGCAGTTTTTCCACCCACTGCATCATCATTAAAGACAATATTAAAAGGTTCAGTAGGGTAGGAGATAGCATCGGGAAAAAGACATGCTTCTCTCAATGGAAGAGAAATTCTCTGTGCTTTTGCAAGAGTCTCTTCCCTTTCTGGCGGTGCTGGTCTGTGACATGCAATGGTGGCTGAGTTGGAGCTGTAGAGCATGCATCCTGCATGTGGCACAGGTGTCACTTTGATGAGAAATTCATCATTCAGGACTAAAGGTAACAAATTTTTCGTAGCCATCATATGTGAACGAAAGGTGAAAAATGGAGGATCTTAGAGATGTTCATGGGTGGAGGGCTGAGCATGACCCGGTGGAGGTGGATTCCCCAGCCGAGGGCATGTTAAGCCACCTCTGGTCTGCTGAGCATAGCTCTCTGTGGGGCATCGCTCTTGATGGCTTCTGGGCCGTTGCTTTTATTCTTGGTCTGCGCCTCCTTCCCCTGTAGGCAGGGGTTTGTTAGATTGGAGTTGGGGGCAGGTGAATCCCTTGTCATTAGGAACTATAGCAGCGCCAGTGTGAAATCCCAGCCCTGCCACGCTCAGTCACCGCAGGGCTCGGCTGGGCTGCTCCACAGCCGACTGGCGACAGGCGGGGGACATGCATGGGGAGGGGAGCTGCTGGCATCGGCCCCTCCGAGCCCAGAGGCAGGACTGGGTGCTGCCCTCCCTCCCTGGAGCAGGGCACCCGCGGCTGCTGCCTGTGCTGCAGGACACCTTTTTTACCCACTGGATTTCTGTGGCGGGTGCAGCTGTGGAGGGCGCAGGATTAACTCACCCCTGGGAGACGGGAAGGGCTGGCACTGTTGGGGGGGAAGCCTCCAAAAAAACGTTTGAGAAGCACAGGTAATGTAGATCGTTTCTCAGCCCTAAAAGCAGACAGGGTGAGAATAGGACCCTGTTTGAAAGTGTGGAGACAGACTCTCTGAGGAGAGAGCAACAGTCCTAGCTGACATCTGATTCCTTTGCTGTTGTGCATCATCAAGGGAGCAGATTTTAGGGGATTCAGTAAAGCAGAGACCTCCCCACCCCTGGCTGCTCGCTCCTGTCTTGACTGAGGTTCCACTTAGCTTTCAAAAAGCAGCTAATCCTTCAGTGCTGAGACAGCCTCAAGGCAGCAAGAAAGGGGGTGGAGGTGCCAGGGGCTTGAATATTCTTATGCGTCGAGTCCATCTTTCATGGGATATAAATAGACCACTACTCGCTTGAGGTTTTTCCTCTTGGTCACTATGCTCAGCCAGTGCTTCTGAAGGGATTTTAATCCTACCAGTTGCTGGAGTGAAATGCATCACAAATAGGGATGCGGATGATCCCCAAGCACAAGCGGGAATTAAAGACAGAGTGATTCACACGCTACACCAGCCTGTTTCAGCAATACAGCTGGCATCACGTCACGGCAGCTTCTGCGAAGCTTAATGAAGATATACTGGTGGAGGCATGTGCGAATGTCCTCGGTTCAGAGGCAGAAAGACAAACCTGCTCCTTCCGTCAACTCAGGAGCTCCTGGAGTTTGGGGAGATGGCTCCCAGGGCCTTAAATCCAGTATCACTACATGTAATTGCACTGCGGCAGCAGCAGCAATCCCAGGTGCTGGGAGCCATACAAACACAAGGCAAGACATGGTCTTGCTCTGCTGAGCTAAAAAGACTAGAAAGACAAAGAAAGATTTATTGCTTCTCTTTGATAGGTGGGAATTATGAGGTAAAGAGATTAAATGGCTATATTTAATCCCTGGCCACACAGCCACGGAACAGTGTCCCGGGCTGGGAAGACTCTTGCTGGGCAAGGCTGAATCTGGGATGAGCACATAGGTATGGTCAGCTCCCATGGGCCAGAACTGCTGAAGGAGGGAGCAGGTTTTGAGAGAGGTTTTCAAGCAACGTTCTCTGCAGCTCAGAGCTGAGGCTCGATGGAGGAGCAGCCTCAGCATGGGCCTCGGGGAGGTTAGGCCCTGTGATGATCCACACACAGCTGATTCATCTCCCCTCTTGCACTCAGTGTCACGGGCAGACCTGGAGCAATCCCCATTCCAGCAGGTACCTTCAACCTGGTGATTCATCTGAGGCAGTGCAGGGAAATGTCCGTGAGGAACCACATAAAAGGGCTTGAAACTGCTGTCTGAAGAGTTGCTTTTAATGAAAACTAGAAAAGGTTGTATAAGGCCTGGAAACACACATTCCCCCGACGGGAAGTCAGTGATGAGCTTCTCAGCCATCCCCAGCAGCAAACTCCCCGACTAACGATGCCAGGGAGGGTCATTCATTCTAGCAAGCAGGCCAGGATTTTTTTTATGTGCAGCCCAAATGGGTAAAAAAAGGCAAGTCTTCCTTGGCCCATAAGGCTTGTTGGTGGCAGACAGCTTGAACCGATGCTAGCTGTGGTGCAAAGGAAATACTTGTGGGATCCAGATTTCATAGCCTGGGTCCACTCTGGCACCAGCTGACTCCTTTTGGCTCCACAGAAAAGGCCAAGAGCCTGGACCCATGGGCACAACTACCCTTCACCCAGAGCAGCCTCTAAGATGCTCTGCACTGCCTTTGCATTTACTCTGCCTCTGTGGCTCCTAGCAATCATTACACCATCACTCTGATCCGCAGCCACCGGGAGCATCTCGAATTCCCAGGTCTCTGCTCTCACCGCAGGAATCTTATTCCCTTTCATCCTGCCCAGCTCCCAGCACCTCTGGCAAGCACCAGAGCAACCCCCAGCCCCCACATGGGTCATCACCAAGCATTTGGAAAGAAGCACTCGCTGCTGCAATCGAGTCCTAATTCTCTGAAAGCAAAGCAGCAGGATGTTTATTGACCAGGGTGAGAAAAGCTATACCTAGGCAATAAAAGTTATTATGATAAAGGAACAGACCGTACTCTCTGCTCTCTGAACACCTTCTGACTCTTTGACAGCTTCTCACCAGAATAATGCAATAAAACTCACTTACACTGAGCATTTTCTTTTCCTTTGGCTTTGTTCTATTAGGGAATTATTTGCTACTTTTTGCCAACACCTAATTGCACTTCCGAGCATAGCTGTTTGGCCAGATGCTGTGAGTACCTCAGAAGATTTTTGGATCCCAGTCTTAGGAGACTTACCCCATAAATAACTTGTAGAACACAAAAAAAAAATTAACAAGGTCACAAAAAAATCACCAAGTTCAGTTTTTCTCATATGTACAGTACAAATGCCAGTTTGTGCCATGAACTAGTATTTCCAACATCATCTGACAAAGAAACCCACCTGGTCATTCAATTAACAAAATCAATTTAATGAAGATCCCCAGTATTTCCTATGGAGAGATTCCCTGAGAAAGCATAAAATGATGCATTGAAATTCACGCTTTGCTCATCACCTGGGTTGGCTGCTGGACCAGAGGGAGGGGGACTTTTGTCCCGCACACAATGCCAGAGCATCCCTCCTGATGCTCTCCGCTGCCTGCCTCCCGCTCCGTTCAGCTGGCTCTTGCTGCCGGCAGCCTGCCGCGCTCCGCGGTGTGGAGGGAGGAAATGCTCCTTGCCTCCAGCCCTGGCAAAGCATTCCTGGGAGGTGAGCCAAGAGATGCTCCCAGGCCCTCCCTTGCTCATCCCTTAACCCTTGTTAGGAGATTCCCCTGGGCACAGAGCAGAAGTCGGTGAATCCCTCCGGGCCCTGCAATAAGCCCGGTGCTGCTGTGCCCCGAGGTAGAGCGTTTGCTCCCTTACACAGCTCTGTGTTCTGCCTTCAAGGAAAATCTCTCCTTTGCCTCAGGAATGAGGTTTAAGGAAGAAAAAGGATCCCCCTGGAAATCGGCTGTCATATTTGCAAGGCTCTTTTGTAAAACTTCACTGCCGCCTCTTTTCTTCTTATTTTACTTCTTATACTCGTCAGGGTTTGTGATTCTTCCCAGAGGGTCAAACACAATATTCCTTTCCCTGCTCCCTGCTTTTCCCATGCCAGCCTGTTCCCCAAAGGGTGCAATGTGGGGGGACGTTGCTGAGCCCAAGCCCAGGAATGGGGTGCACTGCAGCCAGCAGAGAGAGCCAAAGAGCACAGATTGTCCTATTTATGGTCTGTATCTGTAAGAGCTGAAGCTCGGGACGGGTGTCCTCTGTGCCAAGGGCTCTCCAAGCTCTGGATACAGCCGCGCTGCAGAGAGGCAGGCTGGAGATAAGGGTCCTGCAAAGAGGAGCTTTCCCCGGAACAGCACTTTTGGGGGCCAGAGCTGCGTGAGGATGCAGGCAGTGCTGCTGCACCGACAAAGATTTTTCCCCCAAACTAAGTGTCTGCTTTTCATTTCTAAAGGGCATTTCTCATGTCAGAGTTGCCGATTTTTAAAGGGTTAGAAGAAAGTTAAATAACATGAAAGCAAGTGAACTGTTCTATCTAGGGTTAAATGCAGTGGCGTTTGTTCTAATGGCAACG